TTATAGTGCGTACTGTTATCTTCACAGTAACTACTCACTTATAGTGCATACTGTTATCTTCAGTCGTCCTGTTCTCAGCCTCCTCAGTGCTGGGAGTACAGCAGGGCATGCGCCACCACCTCTGGTCTTCATGGCCAGCTCAGCACGCCTGGGGAGGGGGTCCAGCATGGCACGTGATGCTGGGGATCACTGTTATAGTGCATACTGTTATCTTCACAGTAACTACTGGGGCCGGGGAGATGGCTCAGTGGAATAAGCGCTTCCCTGGCAAGCGCAAGGGCCTGAGTTCAATCCCCGGTTCCACAAAAAAAAGTAACTGCTGCTCAGATGACCAGACAGAGGCATGCAGAACTGATCAAACGAGCATTAACAGTTCCTTGCAGGAAAGCAATAGAAAGGGCCAGTAACATAGCTCAGCAGACTGTGCCAGTTTAGGCAAGCACAGGGAACAGGATTCAGTCCCTGGCATCACGTGCCACGCTGGCCCTGTCCCTGGCTGTGCTGAGCTGGCCACCGAGACAAGGTGTGGTAGTGCATGCGTTCCTGTAATCCCAGCACTGGGGAGGCTGAGAACAGGAGAATTGCTACAAGTCTGAGCTGGGTAGTGAGACCCTGCGCAAAATACATTAAAAATAAATAAAATAAACCAATAGAAATTAGTAGTACAATTATGTTAGCTATCGTGTGTGTGTGTATGTGTGTGTGCGCGCGCGCACCCCCTTTTTTTCTTTTCTCCCTTTCCCATCTCAGTTCTTTCCTTTTGAGCAGTTTCGTTCCATTTCACAATATCTTCTGTACCTTTGAGATCTTATTTACTCTTTTAGGTTCTTACATAAGGAGACAGTATGGTGTTTGCACATGCAGGTCTGATTTATTTCACTTAGGAGTATGGTCTCTAGCTGCATCCATTTACCTATAGAAGCCTCGAGTATATCTTTCTTTATAGCTGAGTAGTACTCCATTGTATACAAATGCCGCATCTTCTTTGCCCATTCCCCAGTTGTTCGACATTTGGGTAGTTTTCAAGATGTAGCCAGGACAAACCGCACTGCTGTGAACGTGGTTGTGCATATATACCTTGCAACACCTGTAGTCTATTATCTGCCTCCTTGATTGCAGCCGTCCTTGTGGTATAAAGTAGTATCTCACTGTGGTTGTGCTTTGTATGTCCCTGTAGCTAATGGTATTGAGTATCTTTTCATGTGCTTACTTGGAAAAATCTTCACATCATTTTCCCTCTTTACTTAGACTATATGTCTTTTTATTAGTAGATACAATTCTTTATATGTTGTAGATACAAGTCCCATGTCAGATATTTGTATGATTTGCAAATGTTTTCTCACATTCCATGAGTTATCTTTACACTTTTTCATTTGAATATTTTTGCTTGCTCTTTCTGTCTGTCTTTTTTTTTTTTTTGTCTTTTTAAGATAGGGTCTTTTTATGTAGTTAGTCCAGGCTGGCCTGGAATTTGAAGTCTTCGTGCCTCGGCCTTCTGAGGGCTAGAATTAAACAGCCTAGCCAACGTGCCATATTTCTGCAGAAATAAGGCCTAACTGGAAAATAAGCCCCAGCATGAATTTTCAGGATGCTTGTAATCTAAGCCTGGCACTGAAAATAAGCCCCAGTTAAGATTGTCAGCCAGATGAATGCATTTAGTATATCCATTGCAATACATGATGGATTTACTGAGCTATACAGTAATGACAGATGGAGTTATTTACATTAATACTTAAATGATAATGTAAGTTGCAATATAACTTTGTGTTGTACATACCTAAGTGCCTCTGGATGAAAGGCAAAGCCGTTGAGCTCCAGGCTTATGACCCGATGGCCAGTCAGAGCACAGCTGGGCTCCTGCTGAAAGCTCCATCAGAGCACAGACACGCGGCGGGGATGCTGTGTGCGCTTGATAGTGCAGGGCCCTGGCTTCTCATGTGCGTTCTTATGACTCGCTACAGCATGTGTTATAACACATGTACCTATGAACTTCTATGAAATGAAGTGTTTTCTGAATTTTGCATCTCTTGTATAGACTGCCTTTTTAAAAATCTTTTGACACAGTCTTGCTATGTGGCTCAAGCTGAGCTCACTTTGTATCCCAGGCTGGTCTTGAACTTGTGACAATCCTCCTGTCTCAGCCTCATGAATGCTGGGACTACAGACATGGGCCACCACACCTGGCTATTTTGTTTCTTGTTTGTTGAAAGTAGGAAAATTCACTGGGGAACAGGAGTGGGAAATCATACTGTTATTCTTAGCTGTCACCATTTTTTGTCGCCATGCTTGTCTCCTGAGACGTCAGTTAGCACCTGATTTGGTGGAGACTTTGGATGCCCCAGCTGCAGGGGGCCCTGGCCTGAGGGAAGAATGCAGGGTGACAACCCCTGACTGTGCTCAGTGCTGCGCAGAGGCTGCATGGCAGGAAGGGGCTCCCTGCTGCCCTGAGCGAGGGGGCCGGGGTCCTCCACAAAACGGAGTCAAAAAATTCTAGCCAGAATTTGGGCTTAAGTGAGTTGGATGACGTTGCAGAAGACGACGACGGTTGTATTTGAATAAATGTAGATTTTTGTGCATGCATATGTGACTAAATGTAGATGTTGTGTATGAATGAAAATAGATTGTTGTACATGAAAACATAAGACATCTCCTGAAAATAAGTCCTGTTGCATCTTTTGGAGCAAAAATTAGTTTAGGACCCAGTCTTAGCTTTGGGGAAGTAAGGAAGCAAGACGGTCTTGAGAAAGAAAGCATTGCTTAGCTGGAGGTCACAAAGACTTACACTGGTGTTTTTTTCCTGAGATTTATGGTTTTAGCCCTTCTTTATTTAATTT